ACAGAGTTACAGAGAGGGCGGCACGCTGGTCTGCCTCCAGGAAGGACCGCTCGGGACCGTGCCGCGCCACCCTCGCACGGGGCTGCACGGACACACGGTGGTCTTCCCTTCGGGCTGGCAGACACAGCCAGAGCGTGTGCTACGTGAAGCTTCAGAACCTACCATTGTTTCTGCACATCTTAGGCACTAGGGAACAACATAAAAAGTATGCCTGTCAATTTTATAGGCAAAAATGAGGTTTTATTTTATAATTTGCTATCCTCCAAATCAAATGTTTGCTCTTACTTTTATTGGTCATTTGTATTTCTTATTTTATGAATTGTCTATTCATGTCATTTTTCTATTTTCCCATTGGGTTATTATTCTTTTCCTCATTGACTTAAAAGCTACTTTATGTGTAATAAGGATATTAATCATTTTTCATAGATCTTGTAAATATTTTCTTCCAGCTTATTATCTTTGAATTTTAGAAAAGTTTCAAAATTATATCTAGTTAAATATATCAATCTTTTCCTTTGTGCCATTCACTGTTAACAGTCTGTGTGCACTTTTCCAGACATTTTCTATGCATATGCAAACATGTCTATAAATATATATATAGTTACATATAAAAAGTTTTCCTGCACATTTTACATGAGATCATACAAACTATTCTGCAACTTACTCATTCCGATTACTAGTATATTGTGGATAGTTTCCCATATTAAAATATGAAATTCTAACTCTAATGGAGTATTCCATTATATGAAATACTACAATTTTACTGAATCAATTTTGAAGCTTTTCTTTTTATTTTCACATTTAAATCTGGAAGTTTTGGGTGTATGGGAGAAATAGAGGCTGCAGTTTATTTATTCCAGGGGTTGAGCCAGCTGTCTCAGTAGGCTTACAAAGCAATCTCTCCTTTGCCTGGCGGTTTGAAACAACTTAATCATGTATTAAATGTCACCCATTCGATGACAACTGGATCGCATATTTAATGCACCTATACTGAGAACATGGGTTTCTCTCTAAGTTTTCTTTTTTGCTTCATTTACTTATTTATTTCTTAATCAGCACCACACTGTTGTGATTATTTTATTTTATAATATACGTTAATGTCTACAAAGTCAATATTATCCCTCTGTTTCATCTTTTCCAATATTGCCTTAGCTATTTTTTTCCATTTATTCTGAACTGTAGAATTATTCTATGAAGTTCCCAAAACATCTAGTTAGAGTTTTGATTGGAATTGTGTTAACTAACTCATTAAAGGATTAGTGACATAATTTGCTAGTGATTATTTCAGAATCGTGTTGAATTAATTAATTAAAGAATTAGTGACATAATTTGCTAATGATTACTTTAGTATATCTCTCCATCTCTTCAAGTTTTGTTTTTATGTACATTGGTGATGTTTTCTTTCTGTATGTCTTGCATTTTTCATCAAGTTTATTCCTAGATACTTTATATTTTTATTACAATTTGAAATGGAATTTTAAAAGTATGTTTTCTAATGGACTATTGTTATTGTCTATAGGAAAGTGCTCATTTTTTGTTCATTTTGTAACAACTCACTTTACTGACTATTAGTTTAGTTGTTTCCAGCTGGTTCTTTTGGATTTCTCATGTAGGCAATTGTGGCACTTGCAAAGTAAATAAATAAATAAATGATAGAGGATAAATGGTTTTATTTCTTCTTTTATGGTATTTATACTTTGTTTCTTTTTATTTTCTTATTGCCTTGGCAAGAACCAATCCCTGGATATACCACATTTTGCCATATAAAAGCATATAATGCACACTTTTTTGCCCAAATTGTTGAGGGAAATAATAAGGATGCGCATTATACAAGGGTATGATGATTACCTACTGTGGGTGTAGTGATGGGCATAATAATCCTGTGTAACGCACACAAAACTGGGTGTGCATCATACATGGCAAAATTTGGGTATCAATTAGACAATTTTTTCCCTCTGGGATTCCATTGGGATCACACACATGGACAGTTTATGATTTAATTCTACTCTTCCCCTAATATTTTCGTGTCTTTATCCTTTTCATCTGAGTTCTTGGAGATTTTCTTGTGTTTATCTTCATAGTCTCCAATTTAACTTCTTATGGCATCTAATATGTGGTTCTCTGCTTCTTTTGGATTTTAACACTCAACCACCAGTATTTTTCTCTAAAATACTCATCTTTGGAAAGTTGCCAGACTTTCTCCCAATTGTCAAAGCCTTATCATGTGCCTTCCCGAAACACCCATTTAATCATGCCAGTTGTCTGTTCAAACAATTTCAGTGGGTTCTGTAACAGAACAAATTCCAAACGGCTCAGGACACGGTAGGCTTTCTGTTATCTAGTTCCAATCACCTTCCGGCTCTTCCTGACTCTTTACCTGCTCATCCTTCAAGATCAAGTTCAAAAGATGACTCTATGAAGCCTTCCTGGACTCCTGAGGTGGAGAGGTTTAGGATCCCTCCTCTGTGCTCCCTCTGTATTTGATAAATGCTCCTATACTCTGGCACTTTGTACGGGGACCGCCGTTGTGTCTATGTCTGACTATTCAGAACAAGGGGAGGCCCAGGACTCTTCTCTATTTGTCTTGCTCACTTCTCACTGTCTCATACCTTTATCTTCTAAAATACGCACCGGTCCCTATTCAAGTTAAACCCAGTTATCATTTATTCCACACCCACAGTAAAAAGTGGGTGTGGAATAAAAAGCTCACAACTGTGGGTTGTAATATTACCCAGTGACCTTACTATGTATGCTTATGTATATTCGTTCCTTACTTTACAAAATGACTATTTCATACCTTCTTCTCCATCCGTAGACTTCCTAAAATCCCTCTTCTCCTGATGATCTTGCCTCTAATTCACTCAGAAAATACAACCGGAGACAATTTCCTCGCCCCTCACCGCCACATCTTCCAATTCCCTGTACCCTCTGCTCCCACCGAAGGCCTCCCCTTTCACTCTGCATCCTGCCCCTCCTGCTTCCCGGAGTCCTGGCCCTTGCAGTGATCTTGAGCATGCATCCCTCCCTCTCCACTGGATCACTTCCACTGGCCTGCAAGCATGCCTCTCTGTCATCTGTCCCTTAAAATATAAGAATAAAAGTAAAACTAAAAAAGATCTCTTAACTCTTCCTCCCACGCTAACAAGACCCCCTCCATGTCTCAGCTGTCCTTCTCACCAAAATCTGTTTTTTTAAATCATCTTCAGTAACTATCTCCAACTTCTCATCTCTCATGTCACCCCCACCTGTCCTTTCTACTCCACTGAAGCTGGTCTCGCCGAGACAACCGTGATCTTCAAGTTGTCAGGTCACATGGTCACCACTGTATCCTCATCTTGCTCTGCCCTCCGGCAGCATGCAGCCCAGTTGACCACTTTACTCCTGTCTCAGATTTCATAACAACTACCTTTCAGGTGTGCCCCCTACCTCCCTGGTCTTCTTTGCTCAATTCTCCTTCTCTTCTCAATGTTAGAGTGCACTCATGAGACCTCTTTTCTTTTCCGTGTCTAATCTTCCCATAAATAATTTTATTTTATGGATTTAGGCCTATTTATATGTTAATGACTGCCAAATTTATATATCCGGTCCCAATTTCTCCCCCAAAGTCCAGACTGTGACTTATATACTTGCTTGTATTCTAAGAAGCATGTCTAACTTATGTCTAAAACAGAACTCTTGATGTGCCCCTTTAAACATTCTCCTCTCCAGGTCTTCTCTGGGTCATTAAATGGTACCATTCATCCAGTTGCTCAAGCCAAAATCCCAGCCCTCATCCTCAATTTCTCTTTGCCTGCCCCTTTCTCACTTCCCTACTGACTAGTTCATCAGCAAATCCCTTTGATTCTACTTTAAAAGACTTCCCTAATCCATTTACTTGTTTCTGACCCCACTGCTACCTTCCTAGTCCAAGATACCATCATCTTTCACTGTACTACTGCAGTAGCCTCCCAACTGGCCTCTTGGCTTCCTCTCTTGCCTCTTGCCAACAACTCATTCTCCACCCAGCCACCAAAGTGATCTTATAAAATGTAAATCAGACCATATCATTCTCTTGATTTAGTCTCCTAAAACTCCCATGGTTCTGCCTCTCACTTAGGCTACAACCCCACTCCTCACACAGGCTGGGGGGAGCGGGGCACCCTGTTGTCTTGCCCCACCCACCTCTCCAACTCCGCCATGGCCACAGCCCTCTTGCTTTGCCCTGGCCACACGGCCTTCTTTCTGTTCCTAACTTCCACCTGAAGGCCTTTGTAGTGGCTACTTCCTATCCTTGGATTGCTTAACTCCTTCTCAGCTTACCCTATTTTATTAATTATAACACTAATCACAACTTAACATTTCCTTGGGCTGGTTGGGGTTTTTTGTTTATTTGTTTGTGTGTGTGTGTGTGCATGTTTGTGTGTTTGATCTGTGCGTCTTATCTGGAGTAAAAGCTTCTTGAGAGTTCAGATCACACTGTCTCGTTCCCTGTGGAATCCCAGCACCTGGTACAGTTTCAGGCACATACGATGTGTTCAGTAAATGCTGGCTGAAGGGATGAATGAGGCCTAGTATTCCTTGCAATTGGTGTATTTCCTGACCCAGATTAAGCTTTCCCATATTGGCTGAACTAATGGATAAGTTGTTCCAACTGCACCGTGAGCTTGAGAGCAGAGCAAAGGTGGAAACTGTTGTACGTTTCTTTGTTTCCTCCGCAGCACCTGGCATGATGCTAGGGATTTCCAGGTGCTTAATAAACATGCTTGTTTGATTTATTCCTCTTCATCATAAAGAGAAGCCCAAATGATTAAGCTGTCTTCTTAATCAACTTTATTTCTCTGAGCATAAACATGTGACACAGGAGGAATGTCATGAGAACCGAGATGACCTAAGTAGGAAGCTATGGGCATGGGTCAGCCATCCTGGGTGGGAGTAGAGGTACAGGAGGGTCTGTACCTGGTGGTTCTCCTAGCAGGATCCTGGCCCTAATGTGACATTTCTTTTTGGTATATGTGTTACAGACAGCAACCTACCTGCTGGTGATGGTGGACCCCGACGCCCCGAGCAGGTCTACGCCCCTGGCTCGGTTCTGGAGACACTGGCTAGTGACAAACATCACAGTAAGCTGGCCACGAGGCACTTTCTGATTCATTGCGGATTATGGCTAGGAGCTTATCATGCTCTGCGGCTCTCAGCTCCCATTCGAGAGGGTAGAGGGCGCTGCTGAGCAAGGACTTCTGTGTCAGGTCATCCCCAGTACCCAGTTCTCATAGCCCCTCCAAGGTTTTCTCACAATTTCAAAAACTGTCCCAGGATCAGGGGTGAACAGGTAAATGGGCTCTCAGAGTATCGGGGGGGGCGAGCCCCACTTTGTAGTGTTTGCTAATTTCTGTAGTGTAAATGCTCCCACCATGGCCAGTTTCACAACTGACTCACAACATTTCTGAAAATATAGCAATCGGCTCTGGCACGCCACTGCCAGGTGCCTGGACCTGGGGCGAGGGGTGATTCTGTGCAGTCCAGGTGGCAGAGCTGGGGTGGGGACAAGGGTCCTGTAGGAGCTTCTCCTTCTGATAGGCAGAGGAGGGGTGGCCATTCTTTCACTTGTACAGAAACAAACGGCCTCCCCTCATCCTGGTCCCTTTGCTGTCCTGTGTGAGAAGGAGCCTGGCTCACACTCTCAGAAGGAGGTCTGAGGTTGTCAATGGACATTGTGTGGAGCAGGGTGGAGGGAAGGTTCCATTGACAGACAAGTTTTGGAGACTCTGGGTTAACCTGACTCCATCCCATTCCCCCCTGAAGGGCTTTGCAGAACTTTCGGTATCCTAATAGGTGCTATGTAACATGCATTTAATTTTCGGCCTCACTTGACTATTGAATCTTTTGTTCATGAGTACTTTGGGCAAACCCACACTAGCTTCAAGCACATGCACATCTCTGCCTAGAAAGCCCACAAGTGACCTTCGCATAGGGTGTGCAAAGGCGTCAACCCCATAGGATGGTGGGAATGCAGAACTAGGAAGACAAAGCTTGGACTCAGGTGTGGCTAGTTCCCAACTCAGTGACCACCTCAGGTCACTCACCGGCTCTCTGGTGTCTCATCTTCGTCTGTAAGAGGCAGTTGTCACGATGACCCAGTGAGAGAGCACACCAAGAACACTTGGAGAAGGTGGAGGATCCCTTGGGTTTAAGGAGCTTGAGTTCTTCCTTCTAGTGCTATGGGACAGAGGAAAGGGGTGTCCATCTGAACTGGCTATTTTGATGTTCCTGAGCAAGGCAAGGGCTCTCCACCGCCACTGGAGTGGGGCTGTGGGGGAGTTACCCTGGCAACCAACCCTGCCCAGGGACCACAGGCCCTTCCCAGGCCCTTCCCACTCCTGAGGGAAAGCAGGGGTGCCAATCTGCCCACTGCCCCACCAAGCCACCTGGGCCTCCTGGCGCGACTTGGAGACACATGAGCATGCGGAGGGCCAGAGCAGGGGGTGGGGAGGCTCATGCCATTGGGGCAGGGAGGAGAGCTGAGGGCACAGGGGGAAAGATGCTGGAGCCTGTGCCCATCCAGAGCATTGCTATTTTCTGTGCTTGGGGCTCCCTGGTGGTTGTAAGGAGCTGAAACTCTTGAAAACAAATGTTACACTTATGGGCCACCACCCACACAGGGGTGTCTCTGGGAGGGTCCTCCTGGGCAATTCTGAGGCCAGAAATCAGGAGCTGCTGGGGATGAAGTAATGTCAGGGTTGAGGCTTCCTCTCTTCCAAGCCTGATGTCTCCCCACCCATTCCTCTCACCCCAATACTCACTCCAGACAGTTCTCTCACATGAGCCTTGTGCCTCAGCAGCTCATCTCAGAAGCAAAACAGGTGGCAGGTGCAGGTGGCAGCTGTCCGGCAAGGCTGCTAAGCCACAGAGCTCACCAGGGCCACCTGCCCGAGTGTGGCCCCTGGCCTTCCCTCTCAGGCTGGAGGAGGCTTGGGTTTCTATCGCATTTTCACCCACTTTCCCTGGTGCAAGGGCCAGCAGGAAGCAGCAGCTCTCAGCTCTATCCACTTGACCTACCCACCAGCCCCCGGATTCCACCAGCTCCAGACCCACACAGACTGGGCCATTTGGGTCTCGGGCTGTGGACCTTGGCCAAAGGAAGACAGGATTCTAATGATACCCAGAGGCACTTCCTTTGTGTTGGTGTGAGCTGCTACTAAATGGTTTCAAATATTAGAGCCCATTCAAATAAGCTTATTAAAATGCAGATTCCTGGATGCCACCTCAGTCAGTCTGGAGAAGGCTCGGCATCCACACTTAACAAGCATCCAGGAGGAGTTTAGCAGCTTGAAGGAAGATTGGAGAGTCCTGTGTCAGAATCCCCAGGTCGTTTTTAACATCAGGTTGTGGAGCAATTTTCAAGTGAAAAGCACCTTGAAAGTTCCTTTTGATCCTCACAACGACTTTGTGAGCTGGGCATTATTCCCATTTTATAGATGGGCAGAGCAAAACCTAGACAGATTGAATGATGCAGCCTCTCAACTTAGTGGGCTTTAGAGGTGGGTCTTCAATGCAGGACCCCCAACTCCAAACTGTACACCCTTCCTGCCACACCTCGTGGCCTGTGTTCATAGCACATCCCTTCCACCCTCTCCCATGTGACAAGGGCGTGTCCCTGTGCCCTCTGCAAAATGGGACCATGATCTCTATGCTTCCCCCACCAGACTGGGGCCCTATTCCTGGTTATTTTTTATGGGTAGATACGTCCAGCCACCCTCTCCAGGGAATGCTACCTTGGTGAACAAAACATACCTGACAAGCATTTTGAACCTCATGAAAGTAAACCCTCATGTTATCATCACCTTCAACAGTAAGTGGCCTCAGCAGTAAGGCGTGTCATATAGTCGCTCAAGACATGAATGACAATGGCCCTACGATTCACGATGGCCACAGAGGCAAACCTGATGGAACCAGAGGGGCCCGGGGCCTAACTGGGTGGTGGACTGGGAGCCATACCTGGGGGAGCCCCTCAGCAGGGACAATTTTGTGGCTGTTTTCCCAGGTTTAAACAAGACGGCAACCAGTTCTTAACAATACAGGAGGCATTTAGCTCCCCCACAGAGAGGCTGGCAGGGCCTGTGACAGATGAGCCCTTAAGTAAAACTAAAAGTAGAGAGAAGTCCATCAGCAGGGACCAGGCGTTTGTGGTTCGTGTCGCTCCTTTGATTCCACAAATACAGACTGACTATCATTGGCCACAGTGTAGTGTGTAAGAGCGTGGACCCTGGAGCCAGATTGCTGGGGCTCCGATCTGAATCCACCAGCACTGACTCAGTGATTTCAGGGGGCAAGGTGCTCAGCCTGGGCTTCAATATGCAGACTTGTAAAGTGGGGACACCAGGAACCCCTACCTCATGCTGCTGTTAGGAAGCTTAAATGAATTATTTTAAGTCAAGTGCTTAGGACAGTACCCAGAACACAGAGTAAGCTGTCCATCACTGTTGGCTGAGATGCTATCATTGTTGCCTGGAGTCAGGTGCTGTACTTGCGCTGGGGTCACAGAGGCAAAGCAGGGGACATCCCTGCCCTGCGAGAGGCAGAGGAAGGAGGCTGCGGCTCGGAGCAGGGTTGCAGGAGCACCGGGGCTCCCTCCCGTCAGAGCTTCCTGCACCTGCAGCTTCCCATTGGCTCAGGGGCAGGACTAGACTGCGGTCCCCAAACCTGGCCAGACTGGGGCAGGCAGGGACTGACGCATAAAGCGTACTTCCTTCTTGTCCCCCTCCTTGAAAATCCCTCCTTGAGCACTGACACTCATACCACCTTCCACCCCCGCCCTGTGCCACGTCCTTAGTGTTTCCTTTAAGATGTTTTTCAGTTCTAATTCAATCTAATGAATACTCTTCATGCTACAGCCTAATTAAGATATCAATTAATTTGCATCATTCACTTCAGGAGAGATGCTTACTGGTTCCTCTTCTGTTTGTGTCTGAATGTAGTGCTCAGAGCTTTTCATGCAGATATTTTCATCAGGGTTTTTATTGTTCGTGGGAATATTGAACACAGGAAGACAGTATATTATGATGAAATATCATGATTGGTGACAAAGAACACGAAGAACAATTAAGGAGGCAAGAGTACCTTTTTTCCTACAAAAAAGAAAAATCTTCCTAGAAACCATCAATGATTCTAAAATTTGCCCTGAACATCTTCTTTGTTTTAATAAAGAGATGGAAATGGTAAGTTCACAGTTCCCTTTCACTCGGTGCCCTCGACCTTTGGCAGCTGTAAGTGCAACCAATTCTGGGTTGAATCAAAAGGACCTCTAAGGATTCATTATTCTGTCTACAATTTTCTATAGTGTTGGATTCTTCCATAATTAGAGGGTTTTTAAAGGCCCCCTGAGTGTGAATAGGATGAATGAGAGACCCAGTAAACAGGGCTGGGACCATAGCCCCTGCTTTCCAGTTATGCGGGTGGCACGTGGCAGGGCTCTTGTATCTGAGCGATCGCTCCCACTGCTGAGTGATGTCAGACAAGTTACTTGACCTCTCTGAGACTGCTTCTTGTCTGCAAAACTGACACAAATCCCTACGCTTCAGGGCTAAGACAAGGAAAAAAGGAAATTACATATGCAAAGAGGAGATGCCTCCCCAGAGAGAGGCACTTAGAAAGCGACAAATTTATCCTTGTTCCTAATCAATCGAGCAGCAGATCCTGTACAAATTTAAATATATATATATATATATTTATAAAATCTGATTTTCTATATGCTCATAAGAAAGCTCAAGATAACAGAAGAAGAAGAAACGATCTTTATCAGGACCATGTGTTCAGGCAAAGAGGTCACGCCAAGGAAACAGAATTAATTTTTAGTTTCACTGCTGATATCTGTGCACTTCTCTGTGCACGCTTCGCCCTGTACCGTGAGGGTCCATTTTAAGTAATAAACACTGCAAGGCACAGCTTATGCTCCTGAAGGGCATGTAGGCCAGATCTGTGGGCCACAAGGAGCATTTGGTGATGGGGACAAGGCAAAGGGGACTTGGTTATAAACCAGGCTTGGGCTTGGCCCCCAGGAGGGGAGGGGAAAGAGCCTGCACATTTGGGTCAGATGAACCAGGGGAGGTTCCAGACTCTGCCA